GCCTCCCTCTGCAGTAATGCTAATTATGGGATACAAAAACCTAATCTTTTCCTTTTCTAAAGAATTAATCCAATCTATCAAAGAAGCACAAAAAAAAAAAAAAAAAAGGAAGAAAAACTTTCAACTTGGGATTGCAGTGAAAGATTCCAGAGAAAAAATACACACAGAATTTGCTTACTATTAGCCACCAGAAAGTTAAGAAAAAACATGATAATTAAGTGACTAAAAGCCACTTGGGATGTTCTTTATTTGAAAAATCATATAAACTGAGACTCACAGCCTACCCCATTGTCTAAGTACCTCCTCATCACTGAGTAAAGATAGATGCCAGATAAAGACACTGGCAGTTCCCAGATATAATAGTACTTGTTTTGAGGCTGAATTCTAGATGAAGCAAATGTGGCATAGAGCTCTTCAGTTACTAAAGTACTAAAATGGCCTCATTATAGAAATCATCACCTGGGCAGTGGGGAGGAGGCTGCACCCCAGCAAACACTACCAGCAGGGGCAGGAGAGGAGATCTAATCTTAGAACCAGAGAATATGTGCAGTGGCATATGTGCAGTGATATGGTCTGGCTGTGTCCCCACCCAAATCTCATCTTGAATTATAGCTCCCATAATTCCCTCATGTTGTGGGAGGGACCCAGTGGGAGGTAATTGGATCATGGGAGCAGTTCCCCTATACTGTTCTCATGGTAGTAGTGAATAAGGCTCATGAGATCTGATGGTTTTTTTTGTGTGTGTGTGAGAAAAAAGTGGTATATTGTATTTTTTCCTAACATAAAAACCATTCCTTTAAGTAGTTCTCATTTAAGTTACAATAAATATTTTTCATGTAGAATATATAGATGACAATTGTGCGGTTAATATAATGTCATTTTCAGTTAAAATATGAAATTTGGAAAATATTATTTTCCTTATATCTGAGAAGAAAAATAAATTCTAGGTTCCTTGAATTAAGATATATTCATATGGCTGGGGAGGCCTCACAATCATGGCAGGAGGCGAAAGGCATATCTCACATGGCGGCAGACAAGAGAAGAGAATCAGAGACAAGCAAAAGGGGTTTCCCTTTATAAAACCATCAGATCTGATTTTGTTTTGTATGACTTTTTACTTACATTTTTTTCATTAGTTCTTTCATTTTTTTATTGTAATATTCATTATGTATTATTTTTTGTTTTATCTTGATAATATTTATTTTTTTTTTTGTATTTTAATAATTTGCATGTACATCCAGTGCTGGAGGCAAGCAGGAGATCAAGCAGAGATCTATGTTTATAAAGGAACCCTTTGCTTGTTCTATTCTCTCTTGTCTGCCCATGTGAGATATGCCTTCGCTCCTGCATATGTGAGGCCTCCCCAGCCATATGAAACTGAATCCATTAAACTGCTTTCTTTCATAAATTGCCCAGTATCAGGTATGTCTTTATCAGGAGCATGAAAACGGACCAATACACCAGGGTATGGGTAGGGATGAAATTTTTTCTGGAATATTCCAGCTCTAAATCAGAAGAAAAAACACTAAAGTCATTCTCTACATCTAAAATGCTTTCTATAGCCTCTGAGGCTTTGTAGCCTCTGCGCTATCCTGGCTTTCTCCAGGCTAGCCTACTCCTCCTTTAGCCTCTGCACAGGCCACCTCCTTAGCCTGCGTTCCCCAGCTCCCAAGGCTGTGTTATGTGACCCTATGTGCTTATGCTGCTCCCTGTGATCACCACTTAATGAAAATTGTCTGTTTACTCCTTCATCTCTGCTGCTAGACCATAAGCTCCTGGAAGGAAAGGGAAAGGATTTTCCTGTTCTCAGGATTTTCCTGTCCTCAGCACCAGCACAATGTGGGAACCCAGTAACTGTGCTGACTTGGTTTAAGTCTCTAGCTGGATAGGGAAAAAAAATGGACCATCTGAAACCAGGAGCAGAAACCCTGAAACAGCACACCAATTAAGGTAAACCAGGTCAAGTACTGGGGGAAGAACGGGGCCTAGAAGAACAGTCCTGGAGAAAAACCTCTCAAGGACAAGATTTTACCCCTCACCAGTCAATGACCATTGGCATTTTCTTTTCAAAATCTGTAACTTCTTCTTACTCTATCTTAGAGCGAAGAAGTCTTTTGTCTGCTATATTTTAAAAGTCAAAAGTCTTTTATAATGATAAAGTATTACATGAGAAGCATAGATCCTGAATACAGATTAACAGAAAAACAGAAACAGATTGACCTGAGTTCAAATCCTGACTTTGCTACCAACTAGGCAAGAGGTCGGTCACTTAATCTCTTCTGTACCTCAGTTTTCTTATCTGCAAAATGGTGATAATAATAGCTGCCATTTTCAGAGTTTTTGTGTGATTAGATAGCAATGTAAGTCATATATCTTTGCACTCTGTGTAGTGATATTTCTTAGTGATAGATGTGTGTGCAACAATGTGTTTCAGTAACATTTAGAGTTATGATTCTCAAATATTTACTAAATTTATTCCTGTTGTGAGGAGAGGGGAAAAATAGGCTTTTTTTTTTTTTTCTTGAGATGGAGTCTCTCTGTGTTGCCCAGGCTGGAGTGCAGTGGCACAATCTCAGCTCACTGCAAACTCCACCTCCCGGGTTCGAGCAATTCTCCTGCCTCAGCCTTCTGAGTAACTGGGATTACAGGCGCCCACCACCATGCCCAGCTAATTTTTGTATTTTTAGTAGAGACAGAGTTTCTCCATGTTGTCCAGGCTGGTCTTGAACTCCCAACCTCAAGTGTTCCTCCCGCCTCAGCCTCCCAAAGTGCTGGGATTACAGGCATGAGCCACCATGCCCAGCCAAAATAGGCATTTCTTTAGCTGCTATGCTCCTTCTGTAGAAAGTAAATAAACTAAAATAATAATAATAATACTGTCATCAGATGATGAATAAGGTATTTCCTACTAAGACTGCATCTAGGGTTATTACAAAAAGAAAAAAAGAGACAATAGTAAGTTCTAACAGTGTTGTCCCAGAAGTCACTCAGAGCAGAAAACTAGGACCAATGAAGACCAACAAGCTATTGTTTAGCAGGAAAAAGAAATGAAGGTGAGTTTCCATTTTTTTCCTATGCTTCAACGACTCCCCTTTCCAGAGCTGCCTGTTGCAAAATTCTTTTACTCTCTGACAGGGAAAAAAAAAATTATGTGTTAAAGGAACAAAATCATTTATTGAAAATACACCTCCAGCTTCAAACTGCCAGCCACTCAAAAGACTAGATCCTGACAACGGAGGTTTCCCTGTTTAATGGGTAAAGTGGGGGGTTTAGATATGGGTTTGGGGGCAATACATTGCTCTGCATAAGAAAGGAAAAACTATGGAGAGGTACCTTAAGAAAAGATCTCAGCCTAAATTTATCTTAATAAATACATACTGAGCATCTACTCCATATTAGGCATTGACTAGATGGGATTTACATACGTTCCTTCAATGCAAGTCACAAAGTAGACATCACGGCTGGTTTTTGTTTTAAATGAGAAAGCAGCCTTGGGAAGTGAAATGATTTCCTGAAGGTGAAACGATCATCCGTAGAGGCAATAGTGGAAATTTGTTTATATGAAGTTTATGCTTTTTAGGGTGACAAAGTTTATGTATAAGAGCTGAGCAGAAACAGGAACAGAAATCAACTTGTTTTGAGGAAGAACGGGGAGGGAATGGGAGAAGGTCGTGGAGTATTCCTGAGAGGGCAAGGCCTTAGAGTTACGAATGAACTGTGTAAGAGCCCAGCCAAGAGAGAGGGGAGACTGCTGGGGAGATAGAGGGCAGGAAGGACGTCTGGGCCTACAACAGAATTTTACCAAAGTGTAATTTGGGTGAGAGAGAAGTGACTGGAATCAGAGGATCTGTGCTTTAATCCCAACTCTGGTACGTGCTGGCTTTAGGCTTCGTTGGAGCGGTCTCCAAATCTCCCTAAGTTTTGCCATTTACTCACTGCAAAATGGGCAACATGTGCTTCACAGCAAGAATGAATTCATATCCTTGAAAGTGGCTCGAAAACTTCACAGGGACCTCAGGAGCTCGGTCTGCGGCAAAACTTCCCAATTGTTTCTCAACCCCCATCTCCACTTTGTCTGAAGCCCCACCCTCTTTAGAAGACATGATTGATACAGGGTTTGGTGGCCAGGGTCCGATTATTGCATCTCCGTATTTAGGATCCTTTCAAAACCAGACTTGACCATATCTATTTCCTTTCCTAGATAATAGAGACACCAGGTAAAGAGGAGACCAAGCACTCACACTGCAGAACTAATTGTCAAGTACCTTTTTCCTAGCCCTGCTTTTGTGAGTAATTGTCTCCTTTTGATTGAGTTTCTTTACTCTTAATTGAGAGGGTTGGAACTGATGATCTCTACGGTCTCTTAGAAGACCCCTTGTGAGGTTGTCCCAACAGCCCATTGTTCCAGTACTTTCTATTGCCCAATTAGCAGCATTTATCCAACTTTTTTCTGTCAGGTATGTGCTTCTATTCCAGGCATTCTGAGCCAATTCTGCAAATCAAACTTCTTGGAAGACTCAAATGTTTTAACAATCTTCAAACATACGACATCAAGCGTACCATTTTCCTTTATCTACCAACTTTGTACTTTTACTGCAAAAAAGAAAGGTACTGAGTCCATCTGGCGTGATTTGCTTTGAATAAAAGCCCATCTGCTTATTATTTCTAATTTCATTGTCCTCTAGAATGTTTACAGAGCTTCTTTCAATATTTATTGCGCTGTGTTTCTAATTACTGATCCAGACCGTCCACACAGACTCAGGGGGGCACTGGGCTAGGATTTAGGTGTCTGTCTTTTTTTCATCTCCACAATTCTTTACTCTGGAGGCACAATGTGGCCCTCGGCCGTCATTACAGAGCCCTGGTGTGATGCTGCAGAGGCAGATTCTGACAATCAACCTCTTTATCGTGAGTCTCCCGGGGGACTTGCAAAGCTGCCTCTGATGAATTTTTGCCTGCCTCGACACCATTATTGTCATAGAAAGGATGGAAATAATTACCTGATTTATTATCTTGAGGCTGGCTTCATCCCGGGGCCCTGTGATCACTGGGAACAGAAGGCTCATCTCTGTCTCTGGGAGTCCTGAAAAGATGGTAAAAGATTCACATTTCCTACATGATGGTGTCTCTGAAAGGCAAGGGATGGGATGGTCTCTGCAGCAAAAACAATTCCCATTTAGGCCTTTTCAAAATATGCCCCCAAAATCCAAAACGCTAAAACTGTTTAAAAAATTAAAATCTTTTTCTCCCCAAATAAGTTCCCATTTCTGATTCCCCCAGTTCTACTAGGATGCTTTATTTTCCTCCTCTTATGGCACTTTTTGTCATTCTTCACAATCAAGTAAGCCTCGTTACTCCCTTTGTAGCATCTTAATGCCTTTCCCATCTGTCCCTGGCTTCCATTCTCACTCCATTGTCTAATTTCAGCCCCATATCACATTGTCTCTATTCCTGCAATACCTCCTATCCTTCAGTCTCTCCCCCACCCCACCCACCATACACATGCCTGCAGAATAATCCACCTAAACCATCTTGATTTCATCACATCCCTCCTCAATAATGCTCCATGAGTGCCCTTTGCCTACAGGATTAGTCTGCAAACCCTCACTGAAGGGAAGGGTCTCCAGGGCCCGGCCTCACAGCCCCACAGGTGGCTGTGCACCCCGCCCTGCCCTGAATCCTCCTTCCAGCCCTGCAGGGGGCACTCTGGGCCTTGGACTCTGTTTTTGCTCACAATGACTTCCTAAGCATGTGAAAAAGTTGAAAAGGGAAGAAAGAATCTGAGATGAATTCTTAGCGCAGACACCAAGGGATTAAAATTTCATTCTACACTGCTTTTTTATGGGGAATGTCACAATCCACCTGATTCTCACACCCTCCTCAGATTCTGGAAAACTAGGCCCACTGTGTAATCCACAAGTCAGGCCCCAGCTCGCCCTGAGAAATTCAGAAGGAAGTTCTATTCAAAAAATAAAATAAAACAGAAAAGCAACAAACATTATATAGGAGGGGCAAAGGGTACAGGTTAAAAAGATAGGCTTTGGAGTAAGTAGACTGGATTCCAGAGACTTACTAATGCTGTAACTTGGGCATGCTACTTAGCCTTTCTGATACTGCTTTCTTATCAGTAAAATAGGGCAAATATCCACCTTGCATGGTTGATCTAAGAATTATAGTCAACATATGTAGAGTTTCATCACAGACCCCGGCACTTAGCCTCTCAGTCTTGCTGTATTACTCCACTACCACCTCCAGCCCCAGTAGGTTCCATTCGACTCCAAGGGTTCTCACAGGGTTGGTCCACTCTCTGCTGACTAGCAGAGTTACTCTACCAGCCTTCTGCAATACTGTTCCGACTTCTAACCTGGGCTAGAGAGTGCAAAGGGAGCCTGCTGTCTGGTCAGTGACTACAGTGATTACAGCTCTTCCTCCAAGGATCACAGGTCTGCAGGTGTTCCCCATGGCTGCCCCAGTACCCAGAGACCCCCAGGTGTGGGGCTTCACTTCTCCTCAAAGAGTAACACCTCCTTACCATTCTTAGTGACCAGGTGCCGTCTTAAGGTCCCAGAGATTGAGAAGCACTGACTCAGGACCATGTCAGTACATGAGAGGCAGGAAAGAATGATGGTTATGGCAGTTTAATCTTAACCTGGGCTCTTGAGTCAGACTGCCTGGAATTGTTCTTCCCTTTGCCATTTCTTATCTGGGTGATCTTGTGCACACTGCTTACCTTCTCTGTGTCTTGGTTTCCTCATCTATAATATGAAGACAATAACAGTACCTGCCCCTCATGGGGTTTTTGCAAAGATCAAATGGGTTAATGCACACAAAACACTTAGAATACTGCTTGGCACATAGTAGGTACTCAGTAAGTGTTTGCTGTCATCATTAATGAGTCAAGTCCTCAGTTATTTAGGTCCCAGGCACATTACAATCAGAATGATTGATTGAGACCGCTCTCTGCCCAGGGACTGTTTCAACACCCTGCTTGTTGTTACCACCACTGTGTGCACTTGTACACACATACACACACACACACACACATACACACACACGACCCTCAGCAGTACCTCACGTCAAGAGAAGAATCATTTCCAGGAGGCTTCAACAGCACCAATGCTCACCACCTCTTAATGAAACAAAGTCCTCAGCAGTATCCTAGACATGCTTTCCTCAGGGAATTGCCTTCAATTCTCTCTACTGAGCAGGGGGGAGATCAGAGGGCCAGTAGAATCTTTTGGTCTAATCCTCTGTTGAGAGACCATTAAAAATGTGTCTTTGGGTCTAAAATGTCTGAAATATCCATGCTAACACAAATTACCAGATATTTCTCAACCTTATGGCCTCTCTCATTCATAAAGTTTACAAGTTTTAATACAACCTTTCAGGAAACATTTATTGAGCATCAGTTTTATGTCAGGCACTGTTCTGGTGGCTGCAGGTGTAAGGATGAATCAGAGACAGGCTTTGGTTTCTAGGTCACAGGCAAGAGGGATAAACAGGCAGGTGGACAGATCACTTCAATGCAGTGTGATGAGGCTAAGTCAGAGAAATGCAAAGGGAGCTTGTAGAGAACAGAGAAGGGGCATCCATCCCAGATGGGTAGATCAGGAAAGATTGCCAGGAAGAGGTGACCTCAGAGATAGGTCTTAAAGGATGGGTAGTCATTCACAAAGGAATAGCATTGAAAAGCATACAGGCATGAAAAAATACAACATGATTTTGGAGCGATGGTCATTTGGCAGCACTAGAGGGAACAGAGTAAGGAGGAGGGATGGGAATGAGAATGGAAAGATAAGCAGGTACCAGACCTTGAAAGGACTTCACGCTTCTCCAAGTCTTTTTTATCTTACCATGGGATGAAAGGAGAAACAAAGAAGTGTTCTAAGCAAGGAAGTAACATGATAAAATTTGCGTTTCGGTAGAAGAGGGTTTTCCGGTGGAGGTGAGAACTGTCCGGAAGCAGAGATCATTTGGTGATAAACCTGGATTTGTAACAATCCAAGTAAGAGATGGTAAGAACCTACATTAAGATTAAACTAAGAACTTAAACTAAGTAGGATTAAAAGAAATGAAGACATTTCAGAACTATTTACGAGGTTAGATCATCAGAATGTGGAGACTAGTTAGGGAAAGGAGACAGAGATGAATGAATCCCAGATTTCCACCACGAATAGAAAGTCAAGCTTCAATTTACGACTTAGAAATCCTAACAGTATTTAGATTTATACATTTTCTGTGTAATATTTTAGGTGTTTTTTTCATTTTAAGACAATACTAACTAGAATTTTAATCATACCAACTGGATAACAAAGAAAGACCCTGAAATCTCTGATGGACAAATTTTTTAAGCAGCAACAGATCTTGAATTCAATTAAGAATCTACTACAGCCAGGCGCAGTGGCTCACGCCTGTAATCCCAGCACTTTGGGAGCCTGAGGTGGGTGGATCACGAGGTCAGGAGATCGAGACCATCCTGGCTAACATGGTGAAACCCCGTCTTTACTAAAAACATACAAAAAATTAGCCAGGCGTGGTGGTGGGCGCCTGTAGTCCCAGCTACTCGGGAGGCTGAGGCAGGAGAATGGCATGAACCAGGAACTTGCAGTAAGCTGAGATCATGCCACAGCACTCCAGCCTGGGTGACAGAGCAAGACTCAGTCTCAAAAGAAAGAAGAAAAAAAAAAAGAATCTACTACTGCTTTCAGTCTCCTTGCATTGACAACTCATGCAAAGAAGACTAGGTGGAAGGAATAGAGAAACAGACAGAAACAAAGACTTTTAGGTACAGAACAATTAGGTACAGAATGTGGACTGCTGCTCTAGGAGTACCCCCAAGTGCCAGCATCAGAACAACAAAGACTATGCCTTGGAATTGACCTCATTTGAAACTCTTTATAGTCTTCAATTATAAATAATTCAACATTGTCTTCATTTCCAATGTTTGTCATTCTAGATCGTTGGAGGTTCTTTTATTAGTCATCATTAACTGGAACCAGAAGTCTATAGAAGAAAATGGAAGATGGAGGGGTCAGAAATGAGTTTTGGTGGGAAGATAAATGTAGTCTGCATTCGTAAGCAATGGGGAGTCATTGAAGGCTTTTGAGCAGAGCCATATAAGATGAAACAAATGTTCAAGAAGAATCTAATGACCTTGTACAAAATGAATCAATTTGGCTAAAATCTACTCAATACTAAAGTATTACAGTCATTCTAATTAGACTTTGCGCTTTCCCCTATTGTTGCATCATCATACTCACTCACTCTAAATCCCTGGCAAATTGTTTGCTAAAGGCTTCTAGCTTTCTGTCTCAGTGATTTTCAACCAGAGGAGGCACAGGGTTTGGAAATGAGTTAGCATTTCTTATTGGGGTTCTTGCTGTTTTCACAAGTTGGGGAAGAGTGGGTACTGGCATTTAGTCCCACAGGGGCCAGTGATGCCAAATAGTCTCAACACACTGGGCAGTCCTGTACAACAAAGGCTCATCCGGCCCAAAATGCCAGCAGTGCCCCTGTTAGGAAACATGGCATCTAATCTCTTTTGCTGCCCCACCTCTGTCTTCTATAAATTTTCTTCTTCTATTTATCACCAGGCATCCCGCCAGTCACCTGATTAGCAGGTTAAATGGTCATTCAACTGTCATCAAACTCCTTCTCCCTTTCAGAAGCAACTGGAAGAAAGCCAGCATTCATTATTGACCCAGTTCCATAGCACTTAAGATTTCCATAGTGCTTTGCAATGGTTTCTATTAACTAATTCTCATGTCAACATATGAATTGAGTTAGTTTTGTTATTAGTGGTTTGCAAGCGGAGAGACTCAAGTACGGAAGATTTGGCAACTTGTTCATGTCTCTTACATTTAATTCATGGAGTCACACTTTGGGAAGCTATTTTCAAACTCACAATAATTCTTTCAAATCTCTAGAAAATTCACTTAGTAGGGTACTATTTGTGGCTGAATTTCAATATAAACATTGCTTACTTTTGGAATTTAAATACTTTGGTGGCCTACTTATGAAAAGAGAATCTCCTTCTCCCCTGGTTTTCATTATATTATTGAAGATATATATATTCATATTTTC